AATTGTTGATTGGTTTTGGTTTTTTTTTAAAAGCTCATATCCAACATGTGTGCCTGGTTAGTGTGAATTAAAAGCATATATTATGAAATATGCTATCATGCTTAAAGTGGCTACATTTTACTGGTTATAATTATTATAGACAAGAATATTTCTCCACGTCTATCCAGGAAGTTCAAATTTTACACCCAAAATAAGATTCAATGAATCAATAAGATTTCTTAAGTGTTTTTTTGGTCACATAATACAGACCACCATGTCCCTCTCAAAAAAATAATTCTTTTGAATTTTAGTTTCCTTAGAACAATAGTAACAGGAGAAATCATTACTTTGTGTAGAAAGAACATAGTAGCAGAAGGATATCCCAATTAAAGGTCAGGATGTGAAGTTTGCATGTTTACAGCAAGAACTCTTTGTGTTTTTGATTACTCAGCTGCAGTTGGGATCCAGTTAAGGCAGAGAGTTATATTCCATGCTCAACATCATCCTTGATCAAACTAAGCAAACAAAATATCCTACAGTATTTGACTATACCTTTTCTGAAGTATCATGTAATAGCTGTGATTTTAAAGTGTATTCTTTTGCTTTGCCTTTGGGCAAGTTTTTAGCCTTCAGAGACATTTATATATTCTTTCACATACGCTGTGTGAACAGTGGTAGGTGATGAAGGAGATTGCTCTCTGCTTTGCTCTTACTTCAGCCTGTCCTTAGGGCAAAGCTGACATCAGGTAAGTGGGAACTGGCAATTGCTTGGTTACTTAAAAAAAGAACCCAACCCTTTTAGCCTTTCCTAGAATTTAATTTCTAGAAATGTCTTTGATAGGCAAATAAACCAAAGAACACTAGGTTTTTTCTAGAACAAAAGAAGTAACTTGTGGGTGCAGAGCTCTAACTTCGGCCATTTTCTTCCCAGCATTGCCTCCTAGATGTGATGGAGGCACTGGGCTTTGGTGAGCACTGTAGCCTCTTTTACCAGACTGTAGGGGATGGTGCTAAAAGACAGTTTAGGTTAAGGAATGCTCACACTATTCCCAAGTGCCAAGAAATCAACAAAAACCTAGGACAGCAACAGCTACCTATATAGCCTTTAAAGCCAACACCAAGAAAAGCCTGGCTTTACCTTCAAAAGAATGCGGCAAGCTGGGGACTAAGCAATGATGTCTGAAGGGCAGAAGCTTCCTGGATGCATTTTTCTTCTGTCTGATGGTGTGGAATTCCCACGCATGTGATTGTTACTGACAAAGCTCCAATAGCTGTGAAAAACAAACTCCCACGCTAGCTCATTCCCTAGTGTAGAGATCGATAATGTTCTGTGGAAACTAGAAGGAACCAGGGCTGCAACAAAAAGCCAGAGAAGTAAAAATTTCCTGTATTGGTAGCACATATTCATATCTGTGCCGGGGCGTTCTCCTGCTGCTGAAACCCCTGGTTCCACAAGGGGTGATTGACTCTCCTGAACAGCCATGATGCAAGGACAGTCAAACCCCTTGACATACTTTATGGGCAGGACATCAAGCGCTGCAAATTCTTCTGGAGTGTGTATCATATCTGTTTTGCAGAGTGTAGTGCTAACAGACAGCATTCAGCATGTGAATCTCTCTCCTTTGGCAAAAATAGTTTATTGATTTTGATCACATCAATTGGAATGAGAAGGGAGATTGGGATGCTTCCACTACATCTTTGGTAACAAAAGGAAAGGAATAATGAAGGGAAAGAGAAGTGACTGAAGAGGAACAGGGCATGAAAAGGAAGGGAAACTGGTAAGAGGCAAAGAACAGAGAGATGACAACTACAGAAGTAGCAACAGTTCTGGAAAGGGAACCCTGTGACAAAATTTGTATTTGCTACTTCAATTAAGATTTCTTAGACCCTCAAAGACCTTTTAATGTCAAGCTTATCCTGGTACGGGTGAAACAAAAAATTTCCAAAAGTAGAGCATCAGAATACACCTGCACTGCTTTGTCTCCAGGGTGTCTCCAAAAAGTCCCTTTCCTTCCTTACACTGATTGCCTGTGCCAGGATGTAAAGAAACAGATGAATGTGTGAATGAAATATGCATCAGGGCTACTGCTGGCCTCACAAAAAATGAAGTGAGTGTCCAGAATGAGGTGAGAGCCTGTTCCACCCTTGCTTTCTCCTTTCCACTTCATTCCTCGTATTTCTGGATATTGTAAAGGATACCTAGGACATTTCAAAAGTAGCAGCCAGAAACGACCCATAATTACCAACCTAATAACACTGATGAATCTGTCAAGCTGCATTAGGAGCAGCCTACTTTTAGCCAGTTTGCTACAACTGCATGCTGCAAAAATCAGACTGAAGCTGATACTCCTCTCATCACTGTGTTTCTTAAAACTGCTGTTTCCATGGCAAATACACAGACTTGGCTTTCTACAATCACACTCTTTAATCACTTTTCTTGTAGATATGTATTTCATAGGAAAATAGATTTCTTCTCTGCTCCTTCATCCCCACCTCTCAAGCAGCTCTGTCTGGAGTGAGAGTCACAGATCCTTTAAAAGGCAGTGAGAAGGTATTTGCTTCTCATTAAACAGAACGAACATTGCACAAGTTGTGCAAAGAACAAGTCTTTATGGATCCAATCAAGATAAAGATCTGCTATAAAAAGCTATCTGCTATAAAAATCTGCTATAAAATCTGCATGTGTTTTCCTAAGATCATAGGAGTTCTGCTCATGAGGTTTTATTTTTCTGCATTTTGCTCTTCTGAGGCATCTCTGGGGCGATTTCATTTTTGTCATTTTATACACAGACTTGCTTTTTCTGTTTTCTATCACTCAGGCCCCAGCGTTGCAACTGGTAGTGTGCAGATAGCTGTGAAGTTCTTCCACTACTCGTGAGCTATGGCCTGTTGCCAAACTCTGTCTGTGGCATTTGGAAAGGCTTAGTGGAATAGAAAACTAAGAGGGAAGGTGATAATACATCTTTAATACATTTCAATATACATAAATTTAAATTTAAGTTTGTCCATTATTCAGTCTCCTAATTTTTGTTGCTGTGCTTGAAATTTGTCCGGGGTTAGTTGAATACAGGACTAGAGCTTGTTGCTGTTCAGAGGGTGGGTGTATGAACTGCACAGGAATAAATGTGTCAGTCTAATTTTTGTGGCGATCTTGGTCTGATAAGGGTGTTCTAGTTCAGTAGGGTGAGTCACTTGATTTGCCTGGTGTTTTGCAACTGGCATCTCTGTGGTTTCACATGTATTGTATCAGGATATGGTACTGTCTTAATTTCACTGAGATATGACTCAGGTAAGTTGAGACACAGAACTCAATCAGTTAACTGCACATTTCAGAAGAATCTGCAAAAGTATCTCTCTCTAGGGTGAAGCAGTGCTGTGGCAGTGAGTTTTTCTAACTGGATTTTTAAGCATATTTTTATGTAAGTAGGTTTGATAGAAGAGCTAAGGATGTGGAACGCCCATACAAGAGATTAATCTGATTTGCAATGACTGGCTGGAGTCAATTTCCAACACTGATTTTGATTTAACCTGCTCAGTTTCTTTTACAGAATTTACTTGATCATGTTGTTCTCCCTTTCCCCCGATGCCAAAATTGGCAGAAATACGACTGCTCAGAGACAGTTTTGAGTCTTTAAGTAGCAAAGGTATTTATTTTGAGCAACGTTGGGGAATTAGGCAGCTCTCGCTGCACAAACTAGCTCTGAAGTTCCCAGTGAAAAGTCAAGTAATTTATACAGTTTTCATGAGTGATTACAATATCTTTGTATGTATATTCATCTAATTTCGCAATCTAATTTTCATATTCATAATAGGTGGAGTTTAGGCAGAGCTTGAGGTGGAGTCATTCTTTTGGGGAGTTTTCTGCTGGTCATTCCTGTTCTTCGGCCTCAGGAGGGTCATCTCTTCTGTTCTTCTTCGTCATGAACTTTTCAACTTTTCCTGATTACGTACTGGGAGCTTGCGAAAACCCTCCCTTGATCCAGCTCGTTTATCTCCCCGGATGTCCATTCTATCTAATTCATGACTACTAAGTTGTCCTTTCTATTATCTTTTCATTAGTACAGAACATACACAGGCAGAGCTCTCGGAGCAGGGTACCACTTGTCTCTGCTAACCCTTGCATTAATGTTGCAATCCTCAGAGCGAGGGTCTGTAATATCTCCTCAGAACAGAATTCCAGCATCTCAGAACCCTTACTCGGTTTCATCCCTACTTAAAAAGACACTTGAGGATCTATGTTCCTTAAGACATTGTTTGAAGGTAGGGCAAATTATCTCCAGATGTGATCAGTGATGTTGTGTTTTAATTTTTCCAGTCAAAAAAATGGTGCTTGGCCATGGATTTGCCAGAAAGGTTATTCCAAACTAGCTGAAATTTACTCTTCAATGTAGCAAGAGTTTCAAAATTATCCTTTCCACCCAGATTTAAACTCTCACATTCAGCTACTGCGTGGATTGCTACTAAGTGGAGCCATATTTTGTTTTCTTGTAAACTTGGATAATATGTAAAACTAATCTATATTGAAAGCTTCTCAAAATCCTCTGATCTTGTAAAAGAAGGACGTTGCTCCAAGCTCTAGGAGTGAGCCCTCTGCTATTTACAAAGAAGCTTTTCCCATCATACGGAAAATAAATTTGAGAGACTTTTCTCTAGCTCATGCAATTAATTCTATTCCTAGAAAATTCAGTCTTGACGTGCCCTGGGAGAAAAACAAAAGGAGGACAACATGAACCTCTGTGTGTAATCTTCTATTTGAGTAATTGTAGATTATTTGTAGTGACTAATCTTTCCCTTGGAAAAAAAAGCGAAGTAGGGTTGAGTAATGTGCACTGCAATGGTTGCTGCAGCTGGGAGTTTAGAGTTGGACTGGAGCCTGAAGTGGCCTCATTTAGAAAATAATGAGCTTTGGGAGTGAGTACTAAAATCTAAATATATGCTCATGTACAGTAGCCATGACACAATAAGTGCCAAATGAGTGCTGGGATTTGAAAGATCTCTCTTTCTTAGCTGTATCAGTAAGAGGAAAACTGGAAGTTAAGGCAGCGTCAGAGTAGGTCAGATCAAGCAGTAAAGGCTACCAGCAAATGATTTCAAATTGAAGAGTTGGGAAACCTTATACCAAGTGTGTAAGTATGATTTCTTACTTCTCAAACTACCTTCTTTTTTTGTCCACATTTCAGATGGAAAGCCTGGGAGAATGCCAGAAGAGGTTGATTTCTTTTTTTAAAAATAGAAATAATAATAAAGTCTTACTTCAGCAAAATATTTGGGGGAGTTTGGTGTATTTAGAAAATTCCCAAATTAATAAGATGTGTTTTTTGTCACCACACCAGTCACTACTAATGAAAGGATGAAAGAGAAGAGAAAAGGAAAAGAAGCAAGGAAAATAACTGAGAAAAAGCTTTCAAAATCAAAATCAAAACCAGAACAAACCAACCAACCAACCAAAAAGTAAAATTGCTCCAATTCATAAGCTAAGGATTTTGATTTTGAAAGCTTTTTGTGAATCCCTTTCCCTCTATTCTGTCAGTTCTGCTACAGAGCAAGAATGGTGATGCATTTAGACTGATATATTCTATCATATGTAGCTGAATGGTAGGACCTGCTACCACCTCTTTTGGCCACTGAGGAATGTAAGACTGCAGTAGGACACCTAGGACATTGTTCCTACAGGAGCTACAGGCCTGTCTGATCTGTTTTCTGAAGGGCCTTTAAATGCTCATGAAAAAACCAAGCAGCTTCCTAAGCCTAGCCAGGAAGGCACTGAGACATACTCAATCCCTCTGTATAATATTCAGGCATTGAAAAAGAACAGGAAAAGACATTTTCCAAGCATTAACTGTACTGTTCAAACTTGGCACTGGAGAAGAAAAGGGGCCCTGGGAGCACAACCACTTGAGTGCTCAACATGAATCTCTCTTAGACTGGATCTCTGGAAGTATTCAGAGTGAGTAAGGCCTGACCTTCTCTTCCAGCTTAAACCTTAAGCCACTATTTCCCTTGCTAGAGGGAACATGAAACATCTATTACAGAAAGCCCTGGTGTTTCATTGGAAGTCATGTTGATGGACTATAAGCACCAGTATCTTTCAGAGACCTAGAAACAACAGAGCAGCCACTGATTTAACCAGTTGCATCTTGGCCTGGGACAGGAGTGACCTGGACTTCATATATTGTATTGCAGTGAGTATCCCAGGTGAGAAAGGCCCAGTAACTTTTCTACATGTTTTTAATTTCTTCCAATCTCATTTTAATAGAGAGAGGAATCCTGTTCTACTCTTTCAACATCTACCGAATTTGTTTCTCCAGCTGATCCTAGCGCATGTAGAAATGTCTTTCCACTCCTGGGGAATGCTGGACCTCTGAGACCTTTGAGCACAGATTATTTCTATCTCCTCAAGCTCTTTCTGTCCATTCAGAGGAAGGCAAGTGATATAGATGCTGCTCCTCTATTCTCTGTTTACCAGAAAGCATTTCTGGAAGGCCTGGACTTGTTTCGATTTCCTTGAAGCTTCGTTTTAACTTTTGCATTGTAACAGTAATTAGCTAATGGTCAGGTAGCTATTACTGATCTTGTTTTATTGTTTGCTTAGCTCTGTATAATTGTGTGATGTGATATTTATTGTTATCTGTACTTACACATAGCAGTAGCAAGTAGTTTTTATGTGTAGAGTGGATTATCTGTGACCTCCCCAAAAAATGCACCATAGAGGACCACAGGCATGGGATCAAAGCAGGAGCTTTAAAACACAGGCAAAGGATCATATCAGCAAACTCGTCACTACGGACATCTCATCACTGGTCAGTTGTTATAAATAAGATACAAATAAGTTATCAAAGGAAAGCAACCCCTGCAGCTGGCTAAAACCAGTGCTAGTGGTAAGGGAAGAGAGCAAAGAATTAGTATATAACATAGGTTCAACTCACAAATGAGGCTGCAATATGGTATCACAGACCAAGGAAGAAAGAGCAGAGTGTAGATGCTGTTACCAAACACAGAAATGATCCCAACCACATGTTCTTGGCTGAGAAAGTAGAATTAACAACCCACTCTTTCCAGAGAGGAGATGCTGACTGTGATGTAACTCCCTGCCCATGGCCTGGAGCTATCAGCTTTCATACCCAGAGGGGCAGTGCAAGGGTGAGCACAATACCAGAAAAAGGGGTAGGTTCTAGGAAGTTTGTGTATATGCCATTTTTAACTATTATTTCATTTGAACTGTGTATCATTGAAATTGGACTAAAAATAGTCATTTCATTAAATGACTTAGTTTTGTAAAACTAAAAATAAGTTCTTGACTTTGCACTTAAGGTGTACTCCCCTTTTTACTCATGAATTTGGAGTATAACGGTGGAGAATTCAGGCAATTAAGTCTTTTATATGGGTGCATAAAACGGGTAACTCAGTGCAGAGCAGAATCTGTACCGGGAGCAGCAGGGAGAATCCCATTGGTGTGTGTTGCAGTCCAGCACAAGCCTTGCCAGTAACCTGGGCCATTAACCAGGGGTGTTTCCAACTACTGGATGGGGAGTTTCAGTGGATTAATTTCAGTAAAAGGACTCACTGTCAATGACATGCAATTCTGGTGGAAATCCAAAGAAAATGTAACAGAACAGGGCAGGACAGGCTGTTCTCAGCTTCCTGTGAAGCTCCATGCTTCTATAAAATGGGTTGTACAGTCTGCTGGAAAATACAGGCTTCACAATTTTACGAGGCACAGTAAAATAAAATGATTGATGGCTTATTCCTGGCTTTTTAAGCAGCTTGAACTGAGCAAAACATTTTTCTGTCATGTGGTGTGTTAGGGCCCAAGATGAGTGCTTATATTTGTGTACAAGCTATGCTCACCCTCTGCAGTAATAAAATTTCCTCTATGGACCCCATTTCAATTTCTGCATGTTCTCGGTTGGTTTGCCAGTGCTAGTTACATTTACTGAGTTTCAATCAGCCCTGATACATTTCTGAGTCAGAGGGGTGGAAAAAATAGCTTTGCTTTAGGATGGTGTCTGTTGCTGTGCAAGAAAATACGCATATCTAAAGTAGCGGTTAAAGCCTTCCTAAAACCACTCAGGCAGGCATTGTAGGGTGTATAGAAGAATACCTGACTGAAGGTGAATCATGATGTTGAGTAACCCAGAGTGGCAGGCATGTAATAGATTTATTTAATACACAGAATCTGTGCATGCTCCCTTTACTGTTCTTCGGCATTTAGCTTCGCTCTTGTCCAGATCAGGTGTGGGGTGGCAGTGCAGCATGGCTCCCTCAGCCTGCGTACTGGATCTCCTACTTAGGGCCACTGGCAAACTGGTGGAGAGGCTGGGAGATGACTAGAGACCCCTGATTTGACCAGGTTGTGTTTCAATGGGTTTTTTCCCCCCATTCTGAGTGGTCAGCTTTATGTTAGTAAAAGGAGAATGAACCATCCATTTACTCAAAAAAAAGTAGGAGGAGTATCAGAAGTACAAGCTACCCTGTTTCAGTAGTATATTTTCAAGGCATTTTTGAACTCTTACCCTCTTGCCATTCTTGCCTCTGCAAAATAGATATGAGGCTTTGAACGTGGAAGGCCAGACAAAGGATGAAGAGAATGAAGGTCCAGTTACACCAGAGGTATCAATACAATCAGAAAGACCAACCCCCTGTATTAAAAGCATTTTCAAGAGGAAGAAAAGATGGGTTATAGTTGTAGGCAATTCCCTTCCAAGGGGAACAGAGGGCCCAGCATGCTGACTGGGCCTAATGCATGGGGAGGTCTGCTTCTTCCCTGGAAACTTCCTAGCCTGGTGCAGCCCTCAAGCTACTACCCATCACTGACCACCTAACTAGGGGGTGATGAAGTGGCAACACATAGTCCAAGTGCAATCAAAAAGGACTTCAGGGCCTAGGGACATTTGGTAAGAGAATCTGGGGCACAAGTTGTATTCTCATCCATACTTCTAGGTGAAGGCAGTAAACAGGAGGAGTTGGAAGCCATCATGCTGCTAGAAAGCTATGGACCTAGTTTCTGTTACTGAATGGAAATGAGGATGAATCCCATGACTGGAGTGTGACTATTGATGACTACAGGCTGTTCAGAAGAGACAGGGGAGGAAGGAGAGGTGGAGGAGTTGCCCTCTACATCAAGAGCTGGATTGAGCGTGAAGAGTTGTCTCTGAAAAACAGCCATGAGCAGGTCAAAAGCCTGTGGGTAAGAATCAGAGACAACAAAGGGAACCCTGTGGTTGATGTCTACTACAGATCACATGACCTATTGACAAAGCCTTTTTTGCTCCAGCTACGGAAGGCATCGGACTTGCAAGCTCTTGTCCTGCTGGGGGACTTCAACCACCCTGACATCTGCTGGGAAAGTAGTATAGCAACCTGTAAGTAATCCAGGAGACTCCCTCCACGGCAGAGGGGTTGATGCTAGATGATCCTTAAGGTCTTATCCAACCCAAGCCACTCTGTAACTCTATTATACTATATCAGTCGTTATATTCAGCAACATAAGAGGAGATCAATGACATTTCTTAATCTGTTATCTTCTTGTAAGATGCTCAGAAACATTTAAAGATACCTGAACGATACAGTCTTTAAGCACTTTTCCTGGTACAAATGTAATCTTAACACAAATTTATGGACAGTGTAGTGAAGACAAAAATCTGAATCTACTCCCTTGCAGGTATAGATCTGAAGAAACTGCTAAGAATAGAGGAAGAAAAGAAGTTGGAGTAGAGATGAGCTGGAAGCAGAGCTTATAACAGAGAATATACTTGCTCTGTTTTTCTGTATTTTCTCATCTGATATGGTGACCGAGGTGAGTGTGGTCAGCTCTGGAGCTGAAGCTAGAAACATCAGCCCATGAGCAAATCTGAAACTTAAAAACATTGGGGAAAGTAGGGAAAGGAGAAAACAAGTGCAGTCACCCTTTTTATAGTAAGCATTATGAATTCAGCCAAGGGTTTTCCAGCAACACCTAGCAGTCATTAAGCACTTACCATGTAAAATTTCCTTGGAATTTTAAGGAGAGTAATTTATCCTGCTGACAAAATAAAATTAAATAGTAACCATTCCAAAAGGAACGTAACAGAAAATGTTTTGGGTTTTTGCTGGGTTTGGTTTTTTTCCCTCCTTTAAATCTTGCTGACACATTTCAAATGGATTATAAATCCATTATTTTGTGACTTGATAGAGTATGTTTGAACTTGTACTTCAGAAAGGGTTAAGTTCTTGCTTTGACTGAGACCTTAACAAGTTTGAGACATAACTTTTAAAAGTACAATTTAAGCAAGCCATTTTAATGGGATGACTTAGGGGGCTCGATTTTTCAGAAAAGGATTACTAGCACAGAAAATGTGCACCTGATACTGAAGGATGAAAATCTCACATCAGTAGTACAAGTAAGTTATATCCTCAACATGCATTCATGATAGACTTCAAAGGAAACTCAGTATTATAACAGTTTAAAAGTCCTAGAGACAGTCATCTATAGAAAATATATAAAATATGATCAGTAATGTCAGGAACTCCTGCCAACAAACCGAGCATTAAACATGTATGAAGACTGTGTTGCTCCTGTGCATACTTTAAATTTAAGAACATGCTGATATACACTGTTGAATTGAGGATTCTGAACTACCAATGTTCCTATACAAAACAATTATTTCATATAGGTGGATCACCATAAAAATTTATTGGAATGTAAAAATTTTTAAGCCTTATCATATCGAAGGATATTGTGGACTACACAATATTTGGTGGGACTTTTACATGTATAATCATTGAGAATCTTACTGCTTTAATTGAGTTTGAAGAGTTTTAAAAAATCTAAAAAATCTGCAGTTCTCCACTGAAAACTACCATTCCTGGAGCTGTTAATGTAGAATATGGTAGAATTTTTTTCTTAGGAGGAAATTGAGGATCCATTATTAATTCTGCTTTGGTTACTGTTTACTTCTCAAGGAAATTATTTTTGAGACACACCTGTCTATCCTTATCCAAAGCTTGTTGGAGAAAATGGGGAACCTGCAACTGATTTCATCCATTTTGTAATCTTGTCTTCGGTGTTCAACAGCTTAAACAAGAAGTTTTCCTTTTTTATGGGGGTAAATTAAAAAAAAAACCTCAGAATTTGTCAGGAAAGCTGCTTGCTAGCTGACATTTTTAATTGCTGTGGGAAAACAGACACATACGAATTCTGTGTAATATTTGATTTCCAGCATAATTTTTCAATGAATATTCAGATTGGAAATGTATGTGGAAGAGAGAGGCACTTCAGATGAAGATGTTACTTGTGAGGTATACATACTGGTTGTTAAGGTAACAGAAGAAGGAACAAGCAGAAACCTTCATCGAAGCCTAATTCTCATTGAACTCAACACATTTTGGCTGACTAGAGAGTTCAGCATCTAAAAACTGGAAAGAACATAGCAAAAGGTCAAATACAGAGACATGTTAATCCTTTGGAGAAAATAGTTGATGAGTCTGCTCGAGTTATCGAACCTCTTCTTCAACCACATGAAATACTCTTCATGTCCTAGTATGCGAGTCTTGTACATTAAAAAGAGAGAGACAAGGTTGTAACTCACGAATTATAGCAGAGGATAGGAGAGCTAGTGACACAGCAGAGCATCTCAGAGCTTAGAGGCTGGTAAACAAATGCAGTTGAGCTTCTAATGTTAATCACAGTTCACATGTTTGGAAGAAAGCCTGAAAGGTTGCAAACCACACTGAAAGACTATTCAACCATAACTAAGTCTATTGGTTTGTCTGGGACAGAGTCAAATTTCTTCATAGTAGCTGATATGGGCTGTGTTTTGGATTTGTACTGGAACTAGTGTTGGTAACACAGGAATGTTTTAGCTATTGCTGAGCAGCACTTACACAATGTTGAGGCAACTTCTGCTCCTCACACCATCCCACCAGGGATGAGGCTGAGGATGCACAAAAAGTTGGGAGGGGACACATCTGGGACAGCTGAACCCAACTGACCCAAGGGATATTCCATACCATATGGCATCATGCTCTGCCATAAAAGCGGAGGAAAGAAGAAGAAAGGGGGGGACATTTGCAGTTACGGCATTTCTCCTTCCAAGTACTCATTACGTGTGATGGAGCCCTGCTTTCCTGGAAAATGGCTGAACATGTGCCTGTTGATGGGAGCTAGTGAATGAATTCCTTATTGTGCTTTTCTTGTATGTGCAGCTTTTGATTTAACTATTAAAGTGTCTTTATCTTAACCTGCAATTTTTTGTGCTTTTACCCTTCCAATTCTCTTCCCCATTCCACTGTGAGGGAGTAAGCAAGTGGCTGTGCAACAATGAGTTGCCCACAAAGGCTTGACTGTGACACTAAGGCAAAGCTTGGCAAGACTAACATGCAGGAGGCAAGCAAGCTGCAGTATTGATCTACTCTGTAAATGAGACTCTCTAAGACATTTATAGAAGCTGCAGTGACATAGACGAGGTAACTTTTCCCCTAGCTAAGCCTGCAAATGTAGCATACCCTTGGCTGGAGAGGGGCCTTTTGTTTCCATGAACACTTACTCAGATTTAGAAACTGCATGTCACATGAGCAGGGCTGTATTTTGCTATAGAGCTTCCCAAAATGATCTCACTTTCTCCAGCAGACTGAGGTCTTTCTACATGTGCCTATGCAGACATGTCGTTGAGAGGAACACATTTGATCTTCACCTGATTCTCAGCTAGAAAGAATAAGCCTGTATTTGTGGACTTATACAGAGAGGATTTTTTTGCAAGAAATATCTTTCTCTCTCCTTACAATTACAAAGGAATAATGCAACAGGATCCTGCTGTTGCATTGATTAAGACTATTCTGCTGTTTCTTCGAGGAATGCTAAATGCATTGCTCTCTTAGGAAGCCCAATTCTCTCAAGCAGCTCTGCCCCTGAAATCTGTAATCACAATAGCAGATTAAAAAACTCTCAGACTGTCCCATTAGCCCTTGGGCCAATGCTCCATGCTAAAATACACAATTTTCTTTGTCAATGCTCAGACTATCACCATCTTCAGTGTGGGATTTCAGTTCAATATCTGAGCTTTGTAATATCTCCAGATTTACAAGGACACAGCTGCTTCTGTCCAACAAAACTCTGTCTGAACAGGCTGTGATACTTGAATTAACAAATGTTTCAGATCTCAGGGTAGCCTAAAGGGGTTGTATGAATGCTTGCTTGGCTAATGAGAATAGCATCATGGACCTAAGGGCACCGATGACCTTAACTGCCCTCAGTAATCTCATTTGGGGTTCCCGCTCCATACCCTCTGTGCAAGGGCCTAGGAGTCCTGTTTGACCTTGGTCTCAGGTCTGAAAGTTTTGCCTGAGCTCACCATGAGGGAGCAGCAGGAATGGGGGCTGCCCCACACAGCAGGGATAGGACAGTGTACAGGGTGGCTCCACCATGGTCAGGGAGCTTGCTGTTGGGCAGGACAGGGCTGATGACAGCAACTGGCTCCTGCCAGCCCAGGGACAACCAGCACAGCACAAGGGGACAACACTATCCTGAGTCACTCCCTCAAAGGGCTGGGATTAGGGTGAGGCAGAGTGGGGTCAAGCGTTGCTGCTCAAGACAGATAAGGCCACTGAGTGCCTTCATGACCCTGAGAAACAGAGGGGCTCAGTTGCATATTGCCTATTTCTATGCAAATGCTTTATCCAACTAACTACTTTTACTGCCTAGAAGTCATAAAGCGTGTATTCTCAGCTTCATGATGAGTATTGTCCCATCTGTGATGATGGCTCCCCATGAACCTAATGGATGCAATATACAGAAAAAGGCATAAAAGCTGCTAACCAACTTAAGTAACCATAAGAAACATGTTACTAATATTTGATTTTATCATCTCCCTTCTATATGTGTTAAAACCAATATCCTATCTCCCAAGCAGCCTCGATGCCATGAAAGTCAACTTTAATTCAAAGGAGGCTTTGAAGCTGGAACATCATAACATAATGATATTATTCATAGCCTTGATCTTTTTATCAAGAAAAACCATGAAAATTTATATCAAATAATATTGAAATAGTGTTCCATCTGTAGGAAACTAAAATCAAAAGGAGAGATTGCATTTTAAGAGGGGACAAGGTTCTCTTTAGACTGAATTTATAATCTGAGCCACAGCAATCTGAAGGCATACTCTCGTACTAATGTTATCACTGCTCTAAGCTAAATGTCCCATTTATTGTGCATACAGGAGACTGACCACAGCCAAGGTTAAGCAAACTAGGGTTAGACGAGAGGGAGCTGTCAGGGTCTGGATGTTTCAGAAATGTAAACAATTTTGAACAGAGAAATTCTACCTGTTGAAACTAAATAAATAATGAAAAAAAATTGTAACATCAGCCTGCTACCAATCACTGTGATTTATTTTATATAAACATACATTTAATGAATACTTTCCACACATTCACATCTATAATAACTCTATTCTTCATCTAGTCCTTCAAGAATAACCAAATTTTAATTCTTAATGGCTTTCCATATGCTATGAAGCATATAATCACTCAGCTTGGTGCCATCTCCAAATTTGCTGAGGGTGCACTCAATCTCTTTATGTCATTAATGAAGAAATTAAATAACATTGGTTCCAGTATGGACCCTTGAGGGACACCACTTGTTACTGATGTCCCTTGGGACTCTGAGCCATTGACCACTACCATCTGGATGTGACTGTCCAACCACTTTCTTATCCATCTAAAGGTTTACTCATCAAATCCAACTCTCTTTAAT